GGAGTCGGCTTCTCCCTCTGACCCTCTTCCCTCTCGTGCTCTCTATCTCTCATTCTCTCTCTCAAATAAATAAATAAAATCTTAAAAAAAAAAAAAAAGAAGAAGTCAAAGGGCTTAAAGGAGTTATAGAAAAATGTTTACTATCTGAGGTATGAGAAATTTACGGTGGAAAACTAACACTTTGATGAAAACAGGGCTTTGATGAGTCCACAGTGCAGTAGTTATGGCATTAAGATGTGAGTCCTATGGCTGCCCTGCCTCTTGGTTACTATATTCATCATATGAGTGGATGCAAAGACAACCATAACCTATCTATAGTAAGTTGCCCTCTCCTAGTTCTAATAGAGTGGGATTTCATTTAAAACACTGAAATCTATCACTAAAGATAGGTGTCTGGGAAAAGAAAAAAAATCTAGAACAGAGTACTAATTTCATTTCATCCATGCCCAGAAAAAAGGCACCAACGTGATTACATGCAGCAGATTAACCTTTTGATGTAGAAAATAAATTCAGAAGTGAGTCAATACACAATTTCTTCACAAGTTTCCTTCTATGTTGTAACATCCCTCAATTGGGAAACAAAAGCAACTACTACCATATTTGAAGATAAAAGTACTCCTTTTGCTTCCATCTAAAAGAAGCCACACCTTTGATAAAAAGTCTGAAATGAAGTGAGTCAACAATATGAATTCAAACACTGTGGGGAAATGAAGATGCCTATTAGTACGTAAACATTCCTTTCACCAGGTATTCTCATTCTGAGAAACAATCCTGGCTTTCCGAGACTGTTATATCTTAATTCTGGAAGAGCCTAAAAGAGCCAACACGTACATAAACTTGACCAGGCTCTATACTCACTTGGGCACCATGGGCCCCTGGTGGTACCTTTTCCCCTTTCATGAATAAATAAGTAAAACTATTGGGTTTTGCCTCTTTGTTTTCCTCTATTCTCAAATTTTTAAAAAATAATTCATTTTTGCTTATTAAAAATACATATTCATCATATATCTATACTTTTTAATTCACCCTAATTTTATGAAAAACAAAGGGATTTTCATTTCCATTGTTTTCCATTTTTAAAAATACCAATTAAACATACATTCATTGTTACTTTTTAGTGGTAATATTAGAAAATGTTAGTAAAGATACTGAGTTATCAACTAATCATATAAACAGCTGTTACCAACCCGTGCATGATACATAACATATTCCTTTGCCTTTCACTTTCACTTATATTTACTCTCATAAAGTCCTCAAAAAAGTTTCTAAAACACTTTTTTTCTTGAATGTTCTGTATGCCCACCTTACTTAAAGTTAATCTCAAGGGTCTGATGCTGTAATAGGCAGGGCTGACTTCCCCAGAAGGTGTCTAAGCTCTAAACTATTTCTGAAAGACCAATGCTTACACATGCAATGTATCTCTCAGAGGACCTAGGATTTCATATTCAGTGTAGGCTCAATGTTATGAAATCAACTTAAAGTAACATTTTAGAACATTAAACACATTTAGAACATTAAAAAACATCCACTTCCTACTGTCAGAAGTTAGACTGATGATCTTCCTTAGACTTCAGATGTGTAAAAAAAAAAAAAAAAAAAATCAAAACCAAAATTAAAAGCCCAACTATAAAAAGCACACTGCAGTTTCAGGACCTTTAATGCAGCAGAGTGCAAAGTCACAGTCAGGAGAGGGGCCAAGTTTCCTTCAACCTAGAAAAAGCCAAAAGCTCTACCAAAATTTCAAATTAAGATACCATTTGACTGTTCCATCAAACTTCCCAGTCAAAAAATACATATCACATTCTTACCACACTTCAAATGCACAATATACTTTATGTATTGGCCTACTTATATGTAGGCCAATAGTACTTTGTAGGGGCAGATCACTCTGCCACTTACAAAGTGATGTCATTTTCATACCTGAGTTGAGCTTCACAAATACCCCATGAAGTAAGGTAATTGGCTATTATATACAATGTACACATAGAAACAAGACAGAGTCACAAATTATGCACTCAACATCATTAAACATCCTGATTCCCATTCCAATGCTCTTTTTACAGTAATTTCATCATGATGGTAACACGAACCAGAAGGTTTTAGGATAGTGATTTATGGACAAATACTAAAGAAAAATTAGATTTCTGACTTCCTGTAATAAAGGAGGAAAATCTTTGACTCACTTTACTTATTTTTTAATAATTCCTTCAAAAAACCTACCAGCCCTTAAACAAGTTTCCACACATCAGATGCCCTTTAAAAAAAGGAAATTCCTAAACTTATCAGTTACTTCCAATCCTTCCCACATTATAGGGCTAAATTTCATCTGAGAACTCAAACGGAGAAAGTTTTTTCAAGTTTATCTGGTGCAGTACCTTTGAAACACACTCACATCCCTAATTTGTTTTAATCTAGTCAAAACTGTAAAACTGCCAGCAAGGAAATTCTTGAAAATGTAACTTATCACATACATTACGACAACTTCCTCACCTAACCACACATAAACATGCAAACAATCCAGCCTCTAGTAGTTCTGCATTGTTAGATGAGTCTGCATTTTCTGTTTTAAAATATCCTGGGCTTAACAGGCCTTGCTGCTGTGTCCACGTTCTTTACATGTCAGAAACTACTGCTCTAGGATCTTAACAGTTCATACTCATCTAGCTTTTTAAAATCTTTATTTAACTTAGATAAGAACACAACTACACAATAGAGACTACAATACTATGGAACCAGTTAGTAAATCAAACATGTTAATCAATTTGTTTCTTATGCCCTGTAAATGGACTCAATTATCTAGTAAGATATTGAGCTAACACAATACACAATATATACAAAATTAAAAGATCATAAAATAGTGAAAAAGAATTGAAATTTGAGGAGGAAGCAAAGCTTCAAAGAAAATAAAATACGAATACTATAGCTTGAAAAACAAACAAACAAAAAGCTTCAGAATGGATATTGTATTAAGACTTAATGGATACTTGGAGTTGAGGTTAAACCTCAATTTTTCAGGGCTGATAATTGCAAAAATACATAGAATATTCCTACAGAAGACCAATGTGACCCTTTCTTTAGGACAGAAAACAAAATGTGGGCTAAATAATATGCTTCTTACCCATTCATATCCAACATATCCATAATAGAAAATAAAAGTAAGCACAATCCAAAATATCAGTACTATATAAAACATGGTACTCAAAGTGATTTAATGAAAACAAGCTTTAAAAGCCCCCATTTCTTCATTGCTTAACTTCTTTATTTCCACTGGCAAATGCTTACAAATAATAAATTTAAAATTCTCCTATCTCTAGGTCTTTTCAGATTAATATGCCCATCTTTTGTCACCTGATAGATTTACAGGAATAATCAATATTGCACTGCCTTAACTAAAGACTAAGCACTTTTGTCGTTGATTTTACCATACAAAATGAAAACAGATTAAAATGAGATGTACAAATGCTAAGAATTATTGTCATATCTGGGGCTTTTTTTCCTTTTTAATCCAACTAATGCATTTCTTGCCCCTCCAGACAAATTAATTTACACTTAAATTAATCTGTGGATGCAGTAACAGGGGCTCTGTGTAGGTTTTTTGTTGTTGCTTATTTGCTTTTTAAAGCAACGTTTAAAGGGTCTATGGAATTGCTGCACCTGTATCCTTTTTTTAAATTAAGTTCTTTTCCTTGGAAAATACCAGAAAATATAAAGAAAAAGTCATTTATGGTTTCACCATCTGATCACTTTTATAACTATCTTTTCAACTTATTTTTAGTAGACATGACCACTTCTGGTTCTATAGTTTCATTTACAAAATTAGAATTATATTTTCTAACCTGTTTTTATTTAAAAAGTATTTCCCACACCCTTGAATATTATTTGAGAATGATTTTTATTTAATTAACTTCTTTAACTAGAATCCTATCCTTCGCTTAAAGGGTTAAAAATTACGCATTAAAATAATACCCTCACTTTCTCCTGTCCTTTCACCTTTATGATGAGAACTCGGCAAAGAATAGTAAACCATTCACACTAGCATCCAAGGTGTAATATATTGCATCCCCAAGAAACGTGGGATCTAGTAAGATTCAAACCTTAAACCAAAAATATGAAGCGCTAACAGAGACAGTTCAAGCACTATCCAATGGATGTAACCCTACTGGAGGAGGCAAATCTAAAATTCGCAGGACTCAACAGTTACCTATTCTAGCTACAAGAAAGCTCCACTTCGTTTTTAAATAAAGCAATTGTGAAGCAATGCAAATTTCACCCACCCAACAAAGTACCGTAATTGACTGAGTTCGTTAAAATTGCCGCTCCCAATGGCAGAGCTGGATTCATTAAACAAAGATAAATATGTAGAGCATACAAGGAACTGTGTGGACAGCTGCTACAGTGGAGTTATCGTTTAGGAGGACCACGCTAAAGTGGGCCGGTTGAGAGGGAAAAGGATAAGGAAGGGGATCTGATCACTGTCAGCCTGGCGTATAAGCAGAAATCTCAGCTGCATTATTTAATATTTAATCCTTCTATTCCTGGCATCACGGGGCTCAAACGTCACCAAAAGAGATGGGCCGGCTAAAAAAACCGGCCGGGTGACGCACATAACATCTTACCATATGGATTCTCATCAATCAAGACCAAGAAGCGCCCCAGCCAGCCTAGTGAAGGAAGAAGGGTCCCCCCGGCCATCAGCTCCCCCAATTCCCTAGTACGCCGCTCCGGTCCGCAAGCAGGGATCGGAGGCTGCAAGACCTCCCGACCCTATGCCTCAGGCCGGATCACCTGGGGGGCTGCGGACTCGCGTTCCCAGACCACCCTTGAGCCAGCTCCTGCCGGGAGTCAGCCACCGCCCAAGCAGCCCCTGCCGGAGCAGCCCCCAGGCTCAGAGAAGACCCCGCCTCTGCCTCCGCCAGACAATTCAGCAGTGGGTGTCGGACAGGGCCCCGACAGGCGGCCGAGACTCCTCTCCCGGGGTCCCAACCCACCCAGGGCCGTACCTGAACGGGCAGCGCCACCTCTGCCCGAGTGTGTAGACTGTCGCGGTGGCGGCGGTCACAGCTCCGACACAGTGACGCCTCACTTAAAAACAACAACCTGCTCGCTGGCGTCCGCAGCCGGGAGGCGGTGGCCGGGGGGGGCGCCGCAGCGCATGCCGGGACTCGTAGTCCCTACCTCTCCTCATGTCGGGCGCGGGAGGAGGGAAGAACTACGACTCCCGAAGAGGAGCGCAGCCCGCCCTGGCTCGGCGGCAGGAAGCTAGGCGGGGCGGCAGCGATCCCCACAACATCCGGGCCCCGGCGCTAGAGAGGCTCCGCGGCCGGTTGCTATGGAGACGGGCGGCTAGCACCACTCTAAAGGATTCGCGGTTTCACCCCGAGGGCGGCTCCCTGGATTAGGCGGATTAGTTGATACCTATTGATCTAGCGGACGGTTCACGATTTCTTTGTGGCTTTAATTGGATCTAGTAAAAAGGCTTCTCAGCGCGCTCGCTGGTCTTCTTGCCATCCGCTGCCGGGAAAGACTGCGTTTGCCGAAAAAATAAAGAAGATACCGAGAATGACCGAGTACGACTGGGTGGGTGTGGGCAGAGGGCTGAATGTTTTTGACAGTTGGTATTCCTTGCTATAAATTTGGGGCACCCCGCACCGCCACTCGCCCCACCCCCCAAGAAACACCTTTCTGGGCAACCACTGGGCTACACAGATGTAAATGTGCATCGCGTTGAGCCAGAATTGCCTCTGGAAGTATAAAATGATTGGGGATGGTGTGCAACTGTGGTGATGGCTTTAAATGAGAAAAAGGTACCTTGTTAATTTTACATTTTTTTACACTGTGGCTCGTTCAAAAGGACAAGAGCAAAAAAAAAGAAAAAAGAATATGGTGCACTTGTATTCACTTTTGGTGGAAATGTAGAAAGGTTTAAGGTTAAACTTAAGGTTCTGTCCCCCAATTGTGGCAAAAAAAAAAAAGATAAATAAGAAAAGCAATAACAAGGAGAATGATGGCACTGAGCAGAAACAAAAAGGTGCCTCAAAATTAGACTTTTGGAGGGTTTTTTGTTTGCTTTTGGTGTTGCTATAGTTAACATCACCTGTGACTACAACATAAAAAAACGATTTTTTAATCTTAAAATTACGGCTTCCATAAAGAGCATTTTTATTATTTCAATGACTTCTTATTTATCTTTTTAAAAATGTGTATGAGGAAGAAGTTTGAAAAGTCACAGTGGCTTGGCTTTCTCTAATTCCAGGGGAGCCTGAAAATTACATTAGTGAGAAAGCTAATACCATCTCTTTGTAGATTTTTATTCTTTTCAAGGCACTTTTACAGTCTAATTTTTTAAGACCGTCAATTTTAGAAGAATCACTTACAATTTTAATTAACTTTTTTATACTTAAGTAAATAATATTTGCTGATCCTATGTGTAACCTGGCAGAGCATTTAAAATAATCCTTTTATTATTCTTTGTATAAGGCTGTTTTGTTTTTAATTGTATCAATTTGACCTCCACATTTTAAGAATATCAGATTTGAAGAGGGTGAAACCCAAATAAGAAAACTGCAGCGACCTATGACAAAAAGTAAAAGCAATGAGTATTTTGTTTCTAAGTCTGTGAACATTTGTGAATTATCCTGGAAGTCAAAAAGATTCAGGTAGACCCTAACATTTCCTGATTATGTGGTACAAATTATGCCAACAAAATTTATCAGCTAATTTGTCTTCTGTTTTGACTAGATTTGGTTTACTGTATTACATTTTGGGCCAAAGATGATCAGAAGGTAGTAGAAGGTGATTTGATGAGAGTCAGTCCTCTGTGACTGAGGTTGCCATGGGCAACCTGACTGGGTATCCATAAAGTAAGTTAGGGTTGGTACTTTTTCCTATAAGTCACAGGGGAGCCACCTTCCACCTAAAAAGCTTTCCCTGTACTCCAGAAACCTAGACATTTTGAGAAAACCTGACTTGTTGAGATACCATAGGATTCTGGTGACTTGCTATTATCCAGTGTCTGTGCTCTTGATACTTGAAACAAATTAATTGGCAGTGTCACAAAGAAGTAGCAAGATCTGATGAGTTCTACTTCCAGCTTTGCCAGCTTCCTGTAAGATTATGAATATGAAGTATTAGTCAACTGGACTATACTAATGTAGTGTTATTAACCTGTAAACTTCAGAACTGAATCTGGAACACCATCCATATGCATTGAGGTAAACCTGAAAGAAAATGGTAAAAACTAATTCCATGTATATAGCAATTTATCACTTACATCCAATTTTCTTTCATTTTATCTCCAAAACCACAAGAATTATGACAGTGTTTTTGTTTGTCTTGCTTTGTTTTTACCAATTTACAGATGATACACAGAGGAGAAATCATGGTAAGGGATTGGAACCTAGGTCACATTTACTGCCTGGTACTACTCCAACAACACTCTATTGATATTCATTCAAATCTGAACAAAGGAAAAGAAAGTGGATTAACTACTTCATATTTCCAGAATTGGGCTCAGCTTTCAAAACAAATTAGGTTCCTGACCTTCAGAAACTTAACTGGGCAAGATATTTAGTAGAAAAAACCAGGAATTCAGGACGAGCTCAGTTATGCTAAAGAGGAACCTAACTAATCTGACCCAAATTTGAAACTCAAAAAGGTTTTATCCTCACTTAAGTCTGACACAATAGCACTATAAACATTCTTATCTTCATTCTAGAGGAAGAAATTGAGATTATGTTACTAGTATTAAAGATTTAGAATTCATAAAGGGTCTCAGCTTCATGAATCACAAGAATCTAGAATCTTCAAAGAAAAGGCACTTTAATGCATGTAAACAATCTTCTATTTAATACAACCTTAAAAGATCAGTTGCTGTACACTGCCAACTACCATGAAGTTATTTAGATATAATAATGTAACTTCTAATCTGGAAGGATTTAAATCTTAAGTATTCTCAATATTTTTAAGTACTGCCAAATTTTTTTGTTGTATTTTTAACTACCAAATTTTTTTGACTATTTGGACACCACAGAACACACTTATTAAGAGCTTCTTATCACAAATGAGAGGCCCTATCATAAGTAAATCTACCTATCCCTTTATACTTTTTGAATAACAAAATCAGTTCTGTTAAAAAGAAAAACAGGGGCCAAGGTGGAGTCACTTGTCCCCAGGACAGCAAAGGAAGATTTAATTGCACTTTCAGCCTCTCCAGGAGAGGAATTTTAAGCCAATCAATCTGGAATTTTCTTGTCAACACCAATGAGGTGATCTGTTACCTGGGCCCGCCCTCTCCCTCCCCCAGAGGAAAACCAGGGGATCTGCTTGATAAGAACCTCTGTCCTTGGGGCACCTGGGTGGATCAGTCCCTTAAGCCTCTGCCTTGGCTCAGGTCATGATCCCAGGGTCCTGGAATCGAGCCCCGCCTCAGGCTCACTGCTCAGTGGAGAGCCTGCTTCTCCCTCTCCCTCTTCTGCTCCCCCTGCTTATGCTGCTTTCTCTTTGTCAATAAAAAATAAATAAATAAATAAATAAATAAAAAAAAAAAAAAAAGAACCTCTGTCCTTACCCCTAAGGGGAAATTCTACTGGATATTCTTTCCTGCTTTGTCAAAGATTAGTTGACCATAAAGTTGAGGGCCCATTTCTGGGTTCTCTATTCTGTTCCATTGATCTATGTGTCTCTTTTTGTTTTTTAATATTTTTTAAATTTAAATTCAATTAAATAACATATAATGTACTCTTAGCCTCAGAGGTAGAGTTCAGTGATTCATCAGTCTTCTGTAATACCCAGTATCCTTATATCACATGCTCTCCTTAATGTCCATCAACCAGTTATCCTGGCCCCCAGGTTACCCTCCACTCCAGCAAACCTCAGTTTGTTTCCTATGATTAAGAGTCTCTTATGGTTTGTCTCCCTCTCTGATTTCATCTTGTTTTATATTTCCCTCCCTTCCCCTATAAGCCTCTGTTTTGTTTCTTAAATTCCACATATGAATGAGATCATAATTGTCTTTCTCTGATTGGCTTATTGCACTTAACATAATACCCTCTAGTTCCATCCACGTCATCACAAATGGCAAGATTTCATTTTTTTTTTTT